TATATATGAGCGGCGGTTATCGAAAAACTGCATTTGGCAGTTTCCACTTCACACGCTGTTTGAGTTAATCCATCATGGGTGCTCATTTTTATCCAATAGATAACAATGATGTATTTAATGGAACAACTTTTCCACTCACTTTAATGGAGGTTACACATATGAAGTATTCCACCGATTCGTCGCCTAGAAAGAAACCACTAGTCGTTGCCACAAGATTAATGAGAAGTGGGGTATAGGTGAGAGACTTAAAGGCATCAAGAAGAACATAAGCTCCATCACCAAAAATGATGACACCGTTAGAACTTGAAGAAGAGATCAAGCAAATGGCGAATTTTCTATCAAAGGTAAATGCAGCGGCAAACTAATAAGAAGGAAGCCCAACTTTACCTCGTGCAAGGCTGGCAACAACCGTAACACCAGTGGCAAGGCCATTTGCAATAAAATTTGGAGCACAGGTAAAGATGAAGTTTGGCATCGAAACCACGTTGCCAAGATTAAACCCATTTCTGGATTGGACAGATACAACATCTTGACCTAGTTGACCATCTGTGCCCCATTTTGTGGCGGGGTTGTCAAGGCCGATACTACATATGTTACATCCACAAGCTCTAGCTCTAGCAAGAGAGCACTAAGCTGAGCCACAGTGGGCCGGTTTATAGGAAGATGAAACGAAACCGCTTTCACAAATGACCCAGAGAGAAAATTATCAGCGAAATCGACAATTACTCGTGTTATCCATCAATATATTTACACCACTTATAAATATTTTTTCTCTACCAAATCTTTACCACTAAAACAATAAATATTGACTTACAGTGGTTAAGAGCTTCAAGAACCTCTTGTTCTTCAAAGATATTGGATTTTCAAGCTCCATATCTCATAATTTTGCCATTAAATTTTTCTCTTTATTAAGTTCGGCGACAAATGTTCTTAGATGCAGATGCCATTTTTAAAAAATTACACATTGGATATGCATGTTATTCAATGCTCAGAACATACATATATTAATTAATTATATCAATAATAATTGTATATTAGATTTGGAATCAAAGTTAAAATGTCAACAATCATCACCAAATCTAATCTCCAATTATCATAGATATAATTAATTGCAATTCTAAAATAATATTAAGACACAATCAATAAGTATAATTAACATAAATTCACAAAAATTTAAATTTTATAAAAAATAAAAATAATTCCATTATGTAAATAGAATTCAAATGTAGTGAAATTAAAACAAACAATTTCCAAAAAAAACTAACGTACTGCCACATTCCAAAACCGAGAAGGATTGATAATCTTATCCTAAGGTCTTTATCTAACTTGTAATTAACCCTAGGCAAGGAACTTCCATTTTTGTGATGTTTCTTACATGGAGGACTCTATAGATGCACCAACGTCTTTTTGGCACCCCAATCTATGTACTCCTTGATGTAGTGTGACTAAATGTCGATAATCTTTATTGTCATTTAAGGTTTTGAACTTCAGCTTGTTCCAAACCAGATCAAGGAGACAACGAGACTAAGGTAACCAAGAGTCTCTCTAAGGACTTTTATTTCAACTCATCTTCTTAATCCCCCTATCTAGACAATTCCTGAATTTTCATTCACATGAATGAATGATTTACAAGTTGCACCAACTCATCCTTGTGTTCTTAATATTAAGAGATGTGTTGTAGAGTTCTAATCATGTTCATAACCCTTTCCTTTTGGAGGGTGTTCTAGCAGCCATTGCACGTCTTAACGTAACATTTTTCTGTAACAAATAAAAAAAAAAACTATTTATTTATCAAATAAAGGTTGATATATTTGATAAATAATATATACTGTGTATGCTTAATAACAAAATTTGACTCATAATACAAACACCAAGTATGCATTTTATTCTTACAAAAGAAAAAAAAAATTTAAACACTTCACGCGCTCTCACGGCCACCCAGAGTAGTCACGCGCTGCACGGGCCGATCAGGGTTCTCCACGCGCTCACACTGAATTCGGGTCGACTTGACCGTTTCACCTTTAACCTAGTCAATTTGACCCGATTTGACAATGGCTTTGCGTCCTTTTGGTAAATCAACCAATTCCCATACTTGGTTTGATTTCATAGACTCCAATTCTTCTTCCATTGCTTTCATCCATTTTTCCTTAGAAGGGCAATTGAGAGCCTCATTTAAATTCGTTGGCTCTTCTTCATCTTGTGGAGTAACTAGAAAAATTTCCCCCTCAATCTCAAATCGTCAACGTGGAACTTGTTTCCTGTTTGATCGACTTATTAGAGATTGATTGGTGTTACTCCCACTTGGACCAGCTATCATAGTTGGATCGTCAGTGGAGAATGATGGAAGATTTGAAACTCATTCATCAACTTCCATATTGCTCCCACTGGGATGTAGTATAACCAACTGATTGTCGGCAACAAAATTGCCTTGGTCTTGTGTTTCATATAGAAACAAGTATTGACCTATCTCTCCCTTCTTAGGAAAATCGGTTTCTAAGAATGTGACATCTCGTGATTCAAACTCAATGATGCTACCCCTTTCTTGTTTTCCTATGAAGACGTATGAATGTTCTGAGTATCTTATGAAGATACATTTCTTCCCCCTTAGACCTAATTTTCCATATTTATGGGAATGATTATGAACATAGGCATCCCCATGGCTTTAAGAGACTCAAATCGGATCTCCGATTTGTCCATAACTCATATGATGTAGTAGTAATAGATTTGGAGGGTACTCAATTGAGGATATATGTGGCAGTCAATAAGGCATCACCCCAAAAGGTGATGGGCAAGTTTGCTTGTGCCATCATAGACCTCATCATCTCAAGTAGGGTTCTATTTCTTCGTTCTGTAACACCATTTTGTTGCAGAGTTCTTGGAATAGTTAATTGACGTTCTATTCCCATTTCATCACAAAAATTTCTGAACTGATAAAATAAATATTCACGACCTTAATCAGTTCGTAGAACTTTTATCTTTTTGTCTAATTGATTCTCAACTAAGTTTTTAAACTTCTGAAAGCATTATAAAGCTTTTGATTTTTGAGAAATAAAAAAACATAACCATATCGAGTAAAATTATCTATAAATGTGATGAAATAAGCAGCCCCATGTCTAGCCCTCACATTCATTGGAGCACATATGTCAAAATGAATTAGTTGCAATAGAACTTCAACTCTTATCGCTTTTCCAAATGGTTTTCTTCCTGTTTTTCCAGCTAGGCAATGTTCACTAGTAGTCAATTCTACTTTTGTTAAGGATCCTAACAAGCCTTATCTTGCTAGTATATTCATTCGTTGTTAGCCAATATGGCCAAGTTGTGTATGTCATATATTCACATCATCATTATTGGAAGATGTAATGAAGGAAAAACAAACATTACTATAATTATGAGCAATGTCAAGTACTATAAAACCATCAGAAATATAACCACAACCATAGTATGTTGTGTCCAAAAATAAATGGACACCAGTACTGGAAAAGTTTAAATTAAAACCAAGTTTAATAAGTTCTAACACGGAAATCAAATTTCAACGAATATCGGGTGCATATAACATGTCATGTAGGTATAGGATTCGACCACCATGCACGATCATTTTGCATGTGCTGATCCCTTTAACTTCCACTTTTGAATTGTTACCTATATATATCCATTTTGATTCCCGTGGTATTCTTCGAAACTCCACGAAAGCACTCCTATCTTTCACTATGTGGTCTATTACTGCTAAATCTACAGTCCACAAAGGATAAGATTAAGTTAGAAAAACAGAACTGAAAACATTTATATAACTTACTTGTGCAAACAAGTAATTTACCTTCTTCGGCTTGCTACAATTGCGAGCATAATGTCCCTTGTTGCCACAGTTATAGCATTTCACATTTGTCATGTTTCTCTTCCTGGCAGGATGTTTTCCTTTTCCGTGTTTAAAAAACTTTCTCTTCTTCCCTTGAGCCTTATCATTACTGCAATTTCTTTGGGATCCACCTTGGAATTTACGTTTAAATCCCTTCCCACCATGTGAATTGGAACCAGTCATATACACATCAGTATTTGCCTTACTCACATTAAGGCAATCTTCTTCCAGTTCCAAATGTCGTGTGGCATCTTCTAAATTTCTGATGCCCTCATTGTGGTAAGGTGTATTTTCCCGTGTTCCCAATTTTGAGGCAATGATCTTATGACAGCTTGAACCTGTTGTTCATCAGTTAGGACATGACCTGCATCTCTCAACTCACTAATCATGTTTGACAAGTGCCGTAAGTGTACTCTCATAGTATGTTCAGGCTTTTTCTTATATGTGCCAAACTTGATAGTAAGTGACCGGAGTTTGGGAATGGACGTACCGCCAAACTTTGTAGCAAGGGCGGACCACATGTCCTTTGCTAATTCGTAATCTCGGTACTTTTTTATGAGATCATTGTCTATGCTGCTCAACAAAGTGATGCGAGCAGTGGAATTCTTCTTCTTCCACATGTCATAAGCTGCACGGTCTCTTCTATGTTGAGCCGTGACTTCTTCTTTAGATTTTTTCATGGTCGTGGTAATAGCTTCAAGAACCTCTTGTTCTTCCAAGACATATTGGATTTTCATGCTCCATATCTCATAATTTTTGCTATTAAATTTTTCTCCTTTATTAAGTTCGACGACAATGTTCTTAGATGCAGATGCCATTTTTAAAAAAATTACACATTGGATAATGCATGTTATTCAATGCTCGGAACATACATATTTATTTAATTAATTATACCAATAATAATTGTATATTAGATTTGGAATCAAAAGTTAACAATGTCAACAATCATCATCCAAAATTCCAATTTCCAATTATCATAGATATAATTAATTGCAATTCTAAAATAATATTAAGACACAATCATATAAGTATAATTTAACATAAATTCACATAAAAATTTAAATTTTAATAAAAAATAAAAATAATTCCATTATGTAAATAGAATTCAAGATGTAGTGAAATTAAAACAAACAATTTCCAAAAAAAACTAACTGTACTGCCACATTCCATAAACCGGGAAGGATCTGATAATCTTTATCCTAAGGTCTTTATCTAACTTGTAATTAACCCTAGGCAAGGGAACTCCCAATTTCTTGTGATGTTCTTTACGAGTGGAGACTCCTATAGATGCATCGACCGTCTTTTTGGCACCCCAATCTATGTACTCCTTGATGTAGTTGTTGACTAAACATCGATAATCTTTATTGTCATTTTTAAGGTTTTGAACTTTCAGCTTGTTCCAAACCAGATCAAGGAGACCAACGAGACTAGGGTAACCAAGAGTCTCTCTAAGGACTTTATATTTCAACTCATCTTCCTTTAATCCCCCTATCTAGACAATTTCTTGAATATTTTCATTCACATGAATGAAATGATTTACAAGTTGCACCAACTCATCCTTTGTGTCTCTTAATATTAAGCTATGAGTTTGTAGAGTTCTAATCATGTTCATAACCCTTTCCTTTTGAGCGGGTGTTCTAGCAGCCATTGCACGTCTATAACGTAACATTTTTCTGTAACAAATACAAAAAAAAACTATTTATTTATCAAATAAAGGTTGACTATATTTGATAAATAATATACATACGTGTGTATGGCTTAATAAAAAAATTTGACTCATAATAACATACCAAGTATGCATTTTATTCATTACAGCAAAGAAAAAAAAAATTTATAACACTTCACGCGCCCTCATGCGCTTGCACTCGCCGGTTAGGGTTCTCCACGCGCCTCACACTGAATTTGGGTCGATTTGACCTGTTTCACCTTTAACCTGGTCAATTTTGACCCGATTTGACCTGTTAACTTTGTTTGACCTTATGGGTCGGGCGTTGATCGGGTTTGACTAACCTGTTTGGCCATATGGGTCGGGGTTGACCGAGTTTGACCATTACCGGGTTTGACTAACCCGTTTGATGTACTGGGTCAAATCCGCAGGCCAACTTGACCCATTTTATTTTGGTTTTTGGGTTGGGCCGGAGATGAATATATAGGGTTGTAAGTATGGCTAACACAAATCAAAACGTAGCTCAGTGGTTAGGGAGTTGGGCTTTATTCTGGAGACTTGGGTTCAAGTTTCACCCATAGTTAGTAAATACGGGTACGGTAAAAAAACGGTACGGGAATGATACGGCAAACGGTGAAAAATACGTTTATAAAAATTTGGCTTTAAAATTCAAATACGTGAAAAATACGGTACGGGTATATATGGGTTTAATGCGGTATATTGTCAATAATACGTTTTGAAAAATATGACAATATTAATCCTAATTTTAATACTTTTTATGATCATTGAATTAATCATTCTCTATTTTTCCTTATAGGTGTATGATTTATATCTTTTTTAATTACAATATTTTAGTTTATAAAAAATATATTATTTGATTCGTAATCAATTATTACAAATATTATAGAAGCGGACCAATTATTAAATAAAACAAACAATTTTATTTGTCATTAAATTGAAGAAGATGAAGATAAGACGAAGAGTGGTGTTTGTTGAAGAATATTTGAAGAGGAAGAGAGGTAGAGACGCCAAAAAAGAGAAGAAGAGAGGAAGAGGGCACAAAAAAAAGAGAGGAAGAGGGCCCCAAAAAACAGAAGGAGAGAGGAGGCGGGCGCAGAAAAGAGAAGAAGAGAGGAAGAGGACGCCAAAAAACAGAAGGAGAGAGGAGGTGGGCGCAGAAAAGAGAAGAAGAGAGGAAGAGGGCGCCAAAAAGAGACTGACGTCGCTTTGAGTAAAAAGAGACTAAGCATAAAACGACGTCGTTTTGATCAAATTTCACCTAAAACGACGTCGTTTTGGCTCATTAAATAACAAAATTTTATTTTAAAAAATACGACCAAATTATACGGGAATTATATGAGAATTATACAGTTAGGGCATATAATTCGTGTATAATTCAACTGTGCTTATAGAATCTAGGAATTCGAGTTTTATACCCGAATTATACGGCTGGGCGTATAATTCGCGTATAAAACGCGAATTTACTCTCACCACCCGCATTGGTTTTCATTGTTTTTTTATTATTAAAAAGAGTAAAACAAATGACAAGTCATTTATAAGGCTGAAATTAAATCGACTTGTCGGTCCTTGTCATCTTCTACCTCTGTCCGGGTCTGTAACTTGGTACCCGACCCGGAAATCAACCCATACAAAACCCGAAACTTTAAAGAGGCATAACTAAGATATTTTAACTCCGTTTTTTATGATTCAAAAGCCATTTTCTTCATTATTTCATAAGGAATCTAATAATCTAATTATCATTACTAGAAAGACAACTTTTTACGCACAAACATTAAAATTTCATAACTGCATTTAAGTAACAAGCAACATGCTTTAACATAATAGTACGAATTTAAAACAATATAAACCACGACTCTGATACCATTGTAGAAAAAAAAATCAGAATAACAAATATTCTAAAGTAATCCCAAGATCATGTTCATAGTCACTCATTGCAATCACATTTTTTACATAAACGAATTACAATGTATTTACACAGCATAAATACCTCTTCTCCTTAACTCTGAAGCAAAAATTGAATCTGGAGAGAAAACTATTGTAGAGTTTTTCCTTTAACTATTTTCACAGAGAGAGAGAGAGTGTATGTATTTTTTTTTTAAAGAATAAACTTTTCTTTATATATGAGCGACGGTTATCGAAAAACTACCTTTGGCAGTTTCCACATCACACGCCGTTTTGGTTAATCCATCATGAGTGCTCACCTTTATCCAATAGATAACAATGATGTATTTAATGGAACAACTTTTCCACTCACTTTAATGGAGGTTACACCGATGAAGTATTCCACCGATTCGTCGCCTAGAAAGAAACCACTGGTCGTTGCCACAAGATTAATGAGAAGTGGGGTATAGGTGAGAGACTTAGAGGCATCAAGAAGAACATAAGCTCCATCACCAAAAATGATGACACCGTTAGAACTTGAAGAAGAGATCAAGCAAATGGCGAATTTTCTATCAAAGGTAAATGCAGCGGCAAACTGATGAGAAGGAAGCCCAACTTTACCCCGTGCAAGGCCGACAACAACCGTAACACCGGTGGCAAGGCCATTTGCAATAAAATTTGGAGCACAGGTAAAGATGAAGTTTGGCATCGAAACCACGTTGCCAAGATTAAACCCATTTCTGGATTGGACAGATACAACATCTTGACCTAGTTGACCATCTGTGCCCCATATTGTGGCGGGGTTGTCAAGGCCGATACTACATATGTTACATCCACAAGCTCTAGCTCTAGCAAGAGAGCACTAAGCTGAGCCACAGTGGGCCGGTTTATAGGAAGATGAAACGAAACCGCTTTCACAAATGACCCAGAGAGAAAATTATTAGCGAAATCGACAATTACTCGTGTTATCCATCACTATATTTACACCACTTATAAATATTTTTTCTCTACCAAATCTTTACCACTAAAACAATAAATATTGACTCACAGTCCAATTTTATAAACTTTTTTTTACAATCTCGATATGACAACTTGCAATTAGTCAATTCGTAATTGGACAGACAGGACTCATAGCGAGCAAACGAGACCCATTTACGAGCTAACTAATTATAAACTATCACGACGAGATTGTAAGAGAAAACTTGTGAAATTGAATTGTAATTGTAATATTATTTTATTAAAATGATTAATAATTAATAATTAAAAAATCTATGTGACAACAATATATGAATTTGATAGTACAAGTGACATGATACACAGTAGTACCATAGTCCGTAGATGTACTCCTGAGATTAGGGGACTTCAAAAGCGGTTAACCGGCTTTTCTAAACCGAACTGGATTTTTGGTTCGGGAAAATTCCCGAACCGAAACCGAACCAGTTTTAGGGAAAACCGGTTTTCCCTTTTTTTTTTATAAAACTTTTTTTTTTTTAAATTTTATCCTAAATTTAATTGTAAATATAGATAATACATTGGGAACTAAGAAAAAAAATTTGGGTTGGGATTTTAGATTGAGTGAATTAGAGATTTATTTTAGTTTAGGTATATATATATATATTTGAAAAACCAGTTTAGAAAACCGGTTTTCGGTTAACCGTTTCTAATTTCTTCCGAACCGGTAACCGAACCGAAAATTCAGTTTTTTGAATTTTTTGAACCATAACTGAACTGTTTTTTTAGTTAACCGGTTTTTCGATTCGGTTCGATTTTTACATTTTTTTAGCACCCTCACCTGAGATGGCTATATTATATTCATAAATATGCCTCGCGGCGCGGTGGAGACGTCCATCATGGCGACCTGGGCTTGTATAGATATTCATGTTGATGTGTCAATTGTCAAACCTTTGACCTTGACCAAATCCAACTTTGTCCTAATCCCCATTATTTTATTTTCTAAATTATATGATCAAATCCATATCTCGCAGTCAACTAGTCAACTTTGTATACTCTGGCTCGTAGGCGTGGTTTTTTAATACAAGTGGTTTTCTACATGAAACAAGAAGCACTGAGGCAGGGGACATTTTTTAATACTGGTAATTAATAATAAAAACAAAAATGTTTGTAAAGTAATTAAAACTACTTTATTTTTTTTATATATTTAGTTGTATTTGAGGTTCTGATTTTCTATGCTTAGTAATTAAAAATGCCCATTGGTCCATGACCATTTATTCATAGAAAAAATCTGACAGACAGATTAAAAGGTACAATAAATATAAAGTCCCGTATGCATTAATTGGATGTAAAGTTGAAGTTGGAACAAGTGGTCTGCCGGAACAGCAACGAAGAACTGAACCCAAGTCTTGAAGTTGCTATATCAAACTGTAGAAGATTGTCTTCCAGCTGATGCCCTCCAATAACAATGGAAGTTCTAGGGTTCACCCCTCCATCCACAAACCCTAGGCACACCACGTCTTTGCTCACCTGCACCATAGAATTTGCTCCATAAATACTCCAAATCACGCTTTTACTTTGCAAAACAAGATCGATTTGAGGTACAGCCGGTCCAACACGTGTACTGCCAATGCCTTTTGAGCTAAAACAAGCCCCAAAAGGTGCAACCGGCGTCACTCTGGTGAAGTTTCCCATCTCTTTGACAAAAGCTGAAATGAAAGCATTGTAGATTGAAGTTTCCATGACTGTGTATGGATTAACGGTGCTTATCTTTGTTCCACCAAACCCTACACTGTCAATGGTTAGCAATGTGGAATTCAACGGAACAGCTTTTCCGTTAACTTTAATTGTGGTTACACCGATGAAGTATTCCACTGAAGGATCGCCTAGAAAGTAACCGGAGGCAGTACTGACAGGGTTGATGAAAAGTGGGGTGTAGGTAAGAGACTTAGATACATCAACGTTTGGAAGAAGAACATAAGGTCCATCACCGAAAAAGATGACACCATTAGAAGTTGAAGAGGAGCTCAAACAAACGGCGAATTTTCTATCGAAGCTGAAAGTAGCAGCGAATTGTGAAGGAAGTCCAATTTTACTACTTCCAAGGACGGCTACACCAGTTACACCATTAGCAAGGCCTTCTAGGAGAAAAGTTGCACCACAAACGAAGATAAGACTAGGCGCAGAAACGACCCTACCAGGATTAAACCCATTTGTGGATTGAAGAGACAAGATATCTTGGCCTAAATCACCATGTGTGCCCACATATGTGACAGGGTTATCGGGGCCAAGACCACATATGTTACCTCCGCAAGCTTTAGAGCTAGCGAGAGAGCACTGAGCTGAACCACAACGGGCGGGTTTATATGAAGATGACACAAAATCTTTTTCGCAATCAACCCAAAGAAAATTACCACCGAGATCAACAAGTAATTTTACGGGGACCAAAGGGGTTCGTTGGTTGATGTGGGTAACATATTGAAGAGTGGCGGTATCTTTAGAGACCGGAAGAACAAGGGCTTTGGGACGAAAAGAAGTTTGGGCTATGGTGGAAGATATAAAGAAGAGAAGAGAACATAAAAGAAGAAAATTGGAGGAGAGAACCATTTGGAATTGGATGTAGTGATCAATGTGTTTTGGTAGTAATGATGAAAAGAGGCTTTGCGCAACTGAATATTTATAGGATTTTGAAGACGTTATCGTTGTAGGCAAGTGGTTTTTGGGCTGGGTCATGGTGGGCTAAGAGAAGTCAAAGACGGCAACCTGGCTCATCCAGCTGTGCTGCGGACTTTGACTACGGTGTGCACAGGGATTCTTCCTTCCATGCAACTTATATACGTTTAACCAAGTGAATGTCGTATAAATATTGTTAAAATTATTCAGATTAACGATACTTGTAATTTTGTTATGTATATTGAAAAATTTGGTTAACCCTCCCAATAGTTTATTTCAAATTTTGCCCATTTGTTAGTTGTTTGTATACATGTATGTCATTGGAGCTAGGTCAATGATTGATGAGGTTAGGGAATGAGAAGAGGAAATATTTGAAGGGCAAAACTGAAAATGGGAATTAAATAGAACGAGATTAGTATTATAAGGACAATACTTGTTTTATGATATCAGTTTTTCCGTGGAATGAAAATATTAAACAAAGCTAATTAGGGTGTCGGCAGTGTTAGCTAAAATCGCATAATTCATAAACATGATTCTAACATGTATTATAATGTATAAATAGAGAACTCTTGTATATTGAAAAACACACACTTGAATATATAAATTTATTGGTTACATTTCTCCCTAGAAATCTAACAATTGGTTTTATGATTTTTTTCAACTTCTTGTGGTTTACTGACGTTAGGTTATAAAACCTTTAATTTAAGTTACCTAAAAGAATATTAACTTTGCCTTCAGATATCCTTTAATTAATTATTCCATGAGAATACATATAGTATATATTTGGATCACCTATAACAATTTTTTAAAGTAAATATATAAATTATTAACCGGCAGGCTTTAGCATGATTAATTTCAACTGATTTCATATTTTATAATGTGCTACATGTATATTATAGATGAACTGTTTGGCGGTAGTCTCTTTCATGATAAGAACCTTTGAATATTGGATAAGTTATTTTCGTATAACATTTGGATAAGATTAGTTAGAAAAAAGATTATATGAGGGCCTTGACTCTTTTGTCCATATATACATCAACATAAATAGACGTTATAAATTAGTGCAATTAATACAAAAATATCGTGTCATTATCATAATCTTAAATCTTGGCTCCGTTTGGTTAGTTAGCATTATATGCTATTTAGCATTTTTGGAAAATAAGATAGGATTCTAAAAAGTTTTTGGTATGTTTTTAATGGTATTTTCTAAAAATATTTAGATTATTGTAACTCCTTAGGTTTGTTAATTTAATTAAACACCCCACCAATAAGAGTTTATAAATTGATAAAACACCTCATCCATCCACATATTACCAACAGCCGGCTACCACTGTTGGAAGGTGGTTAGAATTGTCGAAATGGTGCACGACTGGTTGGATTTAGCTGGTCGTGCATCGATTTGGTATTTTCAGCCAAATCTATCGTGGATCTAACAGAAAACAATCAGATTTACAGCCATAGATTTGGTCATTGACGGTCAGATTGGCGTCGTTGATGCTAACGACGGCCAAGATATGTCTATCGTCAATGGCTAGATCTAGCCACTGACGGCCAGATCTTTGGTCGTATATCTAGTTATTATAGTAGATCTGACTGGAAATGAACAATTTAGTTCACAACCGACGACATTCAACTGATTGTTATGGCGGTGCCTGCTGACGGCTTGGGTGGATAGGGGTATTTTTTTAATTTTAAAACTTTATTGAAAAAAGTAATTGTTAATGTTTGAGTTAAGTAAGATATAATTGAATTTTGAAGAATTTAAATGAATGTCTTTTTTGGTTTTTAGAATAAGATAATAGAGTGGGATAGGGGAACAAAAGTGTGCCAAATGGACCCAGCGCAGCATATGCTCAATACTTTAACTTTGGTTTAGTTATGATTTTCTCTATTTTTGGAGTCTTATTAAACAACAACAAGCACATCAAATTATAAGAGAAATAATAGAGATCAATAGGTTGAGCCTCAAGAAACTAAACATAACTAACCCTGATTAATTGAGTAGTTCATAGAAAATCTTAGATATTATTCAAGAGGTCTTTAATTCAAGTTTTTTCGATTGCTAATAAGAAAAACTATGAAACTTTCACTTGGCGTACTTTCATTCAGATCCCGGAGGATTAGTTGTGATAAAACAAAAGCAACTTTATGCAGTGGATGTGAAGTTGAAGTTGGAGCAAGTTGTTCGCGGATCAATAGCGAAGAGCTGAACCAAGCCTAGAAGTCGATAAATCAAACTGTAGAAGATTATCTGCGAGTCGATATCCTCCAACAACAATGGAACTCCTTGGTCTCACACCTCCATCAACAAAACCAGGGACAACACATCATCGCTAACCTTAACCATTGAATTCGCTCCAAAAATAGCCCAGTACACATTCTGTTCTGCAAAAGATCGACCTGAGGTACAAACTGGTCCAACACGCGTGCTGCCAATGCCTTTCGAGCTAAAACGGGCCCCAAAAGGCACAAAGGAAACGACAGCAGTGCTTGATGGGTTGATGAAAAGTGGGGTGTATGAAGAACCAGACACATCAATGTTTGGAAGAAGAAGAACATAAGGTCCATCGCCGAAAAAGATGACACCATTAGAACTTGATGAGGAGCTCAAACAAATGGCGAATTTTCTATCAAAACTAAAAGCAGCAGCAAATTGGAAAGGAAGTCCAATTTTATTTCTTCCAAAGCCAGCGATCCCTTAACACCTTTTGCATGGCCTCCTAAGAGATAATGTGGACGGCAGACGAAGAGAAGGTTAGGCACTGAAACTGCCCTGCAGGGATTAAACCCATTGGTAGACCCGGTGGACACAAAATCTTGGGCGAGGTCACCATAGATGTCGTATCGTTTGTGATGGAGTTCTCCGGGCGGTGACCGCATAGTTGGTTACCTCTGCAAAGTTTAGACCTTGCAAGAGAGCATTGAGCAGAGTGACAGGGGATTGCTCTATAGGTAGAGGATGTATAATAAAAAGCGCAATCAACCCAGAGAAAATCACCACCAAGATGAATATCTAGTGTTACCGGGACAAGAGGGCTCCTTTCTTGATTTGGGTAAGGTATTGAGGAGTAGCGCTGTCTTGGAGACCGGAAGAAGAATGGCTTTTAAGTATTTTGCCTTTCTCTTTTGATGTAATTTGTGTTTTTGAGAAATTTTATTTTCATATTTTCTTCCCGATAAATGCAAGAGCATGTGCATGAAGCAGTTGATAAATGATGTTCAGAAGTCAAGTGAATTCGAGAAATGGATGGCATAAACCCGATAAACAAGTAGGCTATTGTTGAGGCAGAGGTAAAATTAGCTTAAGACGGTTAACAGAGATGAGATACATCATGATCATAGTTATATTTATCAAACTTTTTGGTACTTGTCCCCCGATCAAGTTCATTATTTTCTTAGTGATAAGGATTAAAGAGTCATCTTTTGAATTTCCGACCCAAAACTATATTGTGAATCGTGGTTTATCAATTACTTTTTAATCAAACCCTCTCTGTTTACTGATAAGTATTTGGGCTAGAGGCATTAAATTTTGCCAACACTGCTATAAAATAGTGAGAAAGACACCAAATATAATAATGAATGACTTTAAAGTCAATCAAAAACATATCCACAAACCTGACATCTCACATCAACAAAATGGACCCGAAATAATCAGCTAATTCAATGGATTATAAACAGAAAATTCTTTTCTTCATACAAGTAAGAAAGAGTTAAGTGTAATTTCAAAACTTTACAACGATTCTTGAAGCATAAAATCCGCGGCAAAAATAGAACAACTTGTGGGTCTCAAAGACCTAAATCCTAGCATGGACGTACCCAAATCAAATTCCAAAAGATTTTCCTCCAATTGAGCTCCACCTAACACAATTGAGCTCGTCAACTCCGACCCACCGTCCAAGAAACCCAAACACATAACCTCCTGGTTCACCCGAACCATAGAATTCGCCCCGTGTATCCTCCATTTCACCATCTCACTTTGTAACACTAAATCAATCACCGGCACTAACGACTCATCAATGCCCTTTGAGCTAAAGCAGAGCCCAAATGGTACCACGGGTTCCACCGCAGTCATGTTCCTAGAACCAGCTGCTGACTTGTAAGCTTCGGTAAATGTGGCGTAAATTGAGCTCTCCATGGTGGTATAAGGAACATTTGTGCTCAATTTTGTCATTCCTTTGTCACCAAGCAACAATTGGTTGGAACCAATTTTGATGGATTTGACATTGATGAAGTAGTCTTGTGACGAACCCCCAAGGGGAGTGTACATAAGAGACTTGGTTGTTTCAGTGCCAAAGATTGAGTCTTTAGGCCTGTTGCTGTGAGAAAATATAAGACCATTTGATGATGATAAGCACATAAAGAACCTTCTGTGGTGGCCGACCGCCGTGGCGAGCTGTGACGGTAGTGAAATCGGACCTCGTCCGAGGCCCAACATGCCTTTGACGCCACTTGCCAAGCCTTGAAGAAGGGAAGCCGGCGCGCAAGAGAAGAGAAACTGGTCAACGGTGGTGATTAACGGGTCTAATTTTGACCCATCCGCGGATCGAAGAGCTATGGTATCCTCCACCAACTCCCCTCTTGAAGCCAATCCGATGTTACCGTTTTCTGGAAAAACATCACACGCCTTACCTCCAACATCACGGGCGGCTCCGGTTCCTGTTCGTGAACACTGGATCGACTGATTGGGGATGACACGACGAGATAAAGAGACTAACCCAGAAGCACAATCGACCCAGATCAAAGGACCACCAAGATCAACAACAAGCTTGATGGGGGCCAGTGGAGAACCGTGATGAATCGTGGTAATGTACTGTAAAGTTGATACATCTTTGATGATGGGGAAGACTATAGAACTTGGAAGCAATTCATCATCAAAACTCTGAACCTCAAGTATGTTTGAAAGGAAGAAAAAGCAAGAGAATAGAAGGAAGATCTGATAAATTGAAGAAGAAGCCATGGAATGAAAGTAAAGCTACAGAGAGGATAAAATCAATTGGTGTTCTAAATGGGATGCGGAGAGGCGACGCAGTCGATGTGTTTTGAGCTGGGGGATAAGGTTCTGGGAATTTTAATATGAGAAATGCTGACTAGGTTGAATAGTTGTGATAAGTACACTCAGAGATGCCTAATGTTTATCCACTTGCTTTTGCACGTGATTTGAGTGGGTTTCATTTCATATGTTGAGACAAATATCTAGGTGGCAGTTTTTGTAATGTTATGAAATAAAAGAGAACCCTCCAATTTATTTTAGAGAAAACAACGGATTCCCACCGAGGTTTAGAGAAATCTTAAATTGATACTTTGTATTTATTTTAGATTTTTATTTTTAAAGTAATATTATTTTCTTTACTTTAACAGATTTTAGACTTCTCACTATAATGTAGCACGCTAAAATGCGTCAAACGTTTTCTTCGATAGAAAATGGGATTATATTAGCAAAAAACGATTCACATTATCGTCTAAACAGATAGTTTTGGGCTTTTTCGACCAATTTTAAAGTTCAAAATAACTTTCGAGACCATCGTTAGACTATCCATGACCTTCTTCACAAAACTCATACCTTCATTTGTCAATTTTATTCACTAATTTTTACCACTTTTAACAGTCACCAACGGTATTAGTTTAAGAGTGAGAATTTAGAAAAAATACAACCAAGAATATCAATTTGAGATTTTGTTAAACCTCATATGGAAATATGTCATTTACTCTTTATTTTATAAGTTTGTTTAGATACCCTATCTATGTGATTTTATTTTATTTTTTTATATCTTGCTTTTGTTGTTATTTAATGTTCGATCTTATAATATCAATGTGAAGGGAATATTAAATGGAAAAAAAAATTATTCTCGTGTAGAAAGTTTACTTTCTGAGTCAATGTTATTAAATGATGAATCATGAGATACATCATCTTGCTTGGGTACATATTAGGTAATGTTTGTAACAAGGCCCAATAGACTGGAAGCCCATGGGCTTTAAGGAACAAAAATTGATACATACAACAGAACACAAAGTGTTTAAAGTGAATCAAATGAATAATTATATATAATGCATTAAGCAGTGAGCTTGCTTGTTGAAATATAAATATTGCCTGGTTTATGTGCATTAGTAGCAACTGCACATGATTTGCCTTGAATTTCCCCTTCATAATTTGGACCAAACTTTGTTTGGTCATATTAAATTAGAGAACCCTCCAACTTAGAGTTAACGACTTTTTCCTACCCAAATAATTGTTTAATGATATTTTCACACCCACAGACTTTTAAAATACTATTTTACTACTCAAATTTTAGGGGTGGGCAAATTTTTAGGGTAGATCTGGAACCGATGGATACCCAAGTGTTGGTTTCGGCTTCTACCTAGAACCCGTGTAACAGGGTAGGTTCTGGTTCCAAAAAATTGTAACTGATATTTTGTGGTTTCGCTTGCGGTTCTGGTTCCAAATCAAAGGAACCGGAATCAGAACTAGGACCAAATTGATATAATAATAAAGAATAGGGTTTTTTTTGATATTTTTCATATCATATAAATATATAAGAAATTTTTTTTTTTTAATCTTAATATCAAAAGTCTTATTAATTTTCATTAAAAGATTAGTTTTTCAAAATATTATTAATATTTAAATTTCATTATTACTTGATTAAGAAATTAATATATATTAAGACATTTACGTTAAATAATAGCTTTTAAATGTCTATTGTCGGTGACAACAAACAATTAAATATTTATCATCAAGCATCAAACATCAAGTAAATATAAACAAATATATTATTTAATGTTTTACATTTAATTGTTAGGGGTGTAATGTAATTTTATAAGAGTTTATTTGTCATTTTTTATTTTTTTTAAATAGAGGGGTAATTGCACTTTCTAGGGTACCCGGAATCGGAAAGGGAACCTGTAATAGAATTCTGGTTCCAAGTTTTATAGGAACCAAAACCGACAGTTACGGATCCAAATCAAAGAAACCGGTTAGTTCCAGTTCCTTTGATTTTGGACGTCCTACCAAATTTATATTTCAGCGACGAACAAAGAGTAAACTTGGTCTAAGCTATTGGGATTTTTTAAGAGAAAAGACCAATAAGTCTTTTGGTGGTGGAAGATTAGATTTTGGTGGTTAGGATTGATCGAAATTTAACTTGGAAGAGACAGTTGCGCAAACCTTAATCGCTCAATTGTCAAGCGATTGACAAAGTTGAAAGAAGTAGAGTTTGAGGGGTTTTGGTGAGTGATGATCAGAAAAGAAAATGGTGATGGTGTGGGGTCTCAACGATGCTAAAATAAAAAATGGATTATAAATTTGAACAATAAAATAGTATTTTAAAAGTCTGTGGGTGAAAAAGTGTCATTAAACATTAGTTGGGTGGGAAAAAGTTGTTTACTCCTCCAATTCATTTTATAAGTTTCTTTGGATACCCTATCTACGTGATTTTATTTTATTTTATATCTTGCTTTTGTTGTTTTTTAATGTTAGATCTTACGGGAAAATATTAAATAGAAAATAATTATTCGCATCCAAAAAGTTTATTTTGTGAGTCAATGTTATTAAATGATGAATCATGAAATACAACATCTTGCTTAGGTAGGTATTAGGTAATGTTTGAAACAAGGCCCAATACACTGGAAGCCCATGGGCTAGGAACAAAAATTGATACATATAACAGAACACAAAAAGTTTAGAATCAAATGAATAATTAAGTTAACGACTTTTTCCCACCTAAACAGTAGTTTAATGACACTTTATTATCTATGAGTTTTTAAAATACTACTTTACTAATCAAATTTTTATTTTGCTGGGGAGTAAACAGCAAACGGAATCCAAATTTTTTGGGCATTTAAAGATGGGAGAACGGTGAATTTTTTTGTGGGGGAAAGTTGGATTTTGGACGTGGTTGGAATTGATTGAAATTTGATTTGGAAGGGATGACTGCGTAAACCCTAATTGCTTGATTACCGATGATTGGCTGGATCGATGAGAGTAGGGTTTGAAGGATTTTGGTGAGTCATGATCAGGGAAGAAAATAGTAGTGATGTAGGGTCGTAAAGATGCTGGAACCGGAAATGGAATATAAATTTGGATAGTAAAGTGATATTTAAAAAACCTGTGGGTGAAAAAGGGTCATTAACCCATTATTTGGGTGGGAAAAAGTCATTTACTCTAATTATATTGTATAATGCATTCCCTCACAATAACTTTAAGCAGTGAGCTTGCTTGTTGAAATATAAATATTACCCGGTTTATGTGCATAAGTGCATTGGTAGCAACTGCACATGGTTTGCCTTGAATTTCACCTTCCTAGGTTTTTTTCTTTTTTTTTTTTTTTTTTTTTTTTGATAATGGTAATTTTATAAAAGAAGAAGAAACAACTTAAAGGGGAGAATCTCTACACAAAGCATTCCTTACAGCACAAGGAGAAAGAGAAGAAGAAAAAAAAAAAAAGGATGATCAGTCTTTCACACAAGTCCAAGTGTTACAAATCCCACATTAGAAGTGTATTGGGAAAGTCTTGGGCTTATAAATGGGGGGAGTCCCTCCACCTAATGGTTAGCCTTTTGGGTGTGAAACTTCTAGCCCGTGACAAGTGGTATCAGAGCAGGCCCAATCCATCTTTTGATGTCCCGCCAAGCGCCCACGTAAGGGCATCCACTGTGATTGTGGGTCTACACGAGAGTGAGATGGACGGGTAGGCAGGGAGCCCCACCTGTGATGAGGGCGTCACAGGATTGGTGGAGAGAATGTTCAAATCCCATATTGGAAGTGTATTAGGAAAGTCTTGGGCTTATAAATGGGGGGAGTCCCTCCACCTAGTAGGTTAACCTTTTGGGTATGGAACTCCCCGTGACACAAGGCAAGACAAGAAAATCAGTCAAAAAAACTGAACCGAGACTATACAAAAGTACAAAACTAACAAGCAGCACAGCTCATAAACAGTAAACCGACACAAAATAAGCTGCAGCATAAGTAAAAAACTAGCAGCAATCCACATAACACCGTCTGAATCATCTTCCAGTAAGATCAGCAGTCATCTTCAAACCCAGCAGCCACTCACCAACACGCATAGAACCAGCTGTGCCTAAAGCAAAGAGCAAGGGGGAGCCAAAAGAGAACCAAAAACAAGAGAAGCCAGCAGCGACCAGCAGAGCACGCTGGGCTGCACCATGGCCACCTTCATAATTTGGACCAAGCTTTCTCTGTTCATATTATCACATCAGACAAACAGACTACACAAACTAAACGTTTAATTATATATAAACAGTAGTTTACATATTACAACATCAAATATTATTAGACATAAACCAGCTAGATATATTTACTGGAACTATCTTGTACGTCTAATATCCCACGAAATAATCAAGCAAAAAATAAATGTTGAATATATTAGCATGGGTATTATCTCGATCGAGAAATATATAAACACAAACTAAATGTTAACTTAGCCTGGATATTATGTATCATCACATGAAAGAAACAGTAAAGACTGAATATATTAATGTTGAACCGGCTGGAATATTATTAAAGTATCACATGAAATTGAAACAAACCAAATGTCGAACATGAAACGACATTGTCCTTGCAGACATGGTAAAAGAAACACGGATGAAATTGAGGTAGAACATCTGACAGATGAATTTATGGAATGGACTGAACATCAGTAGTCCATACGTAAAGCCTAAATGGCCTAAATGAGTATGACCCATTCAAATAGTCATAACTTTTTATATGGAAAATACCGTTTGAAAGCTTACTTCAATCTCGTTGACTTAAAATCAGCTTCAACTGGTTGGAAGTCATTTTCAAGGTCAAAATCCACCGTTTTGATATGTTTCGGGACTGTTTTAGTTATTTACATTTTTTTCCTATTTTATTTCGGATTTTCTTGTTTTAATTGATTTAGTTTTTGTTTCTTTTTGTTATTAGAAGTTTTATTTGGGTTGTTTGTTACCCTATATAAACTTATTTTTTATTTTGAAGACCACTCAATAAATTATTCAGATTTGACTTTCGATTTTAAGTTTTAAGTTTCTGGTTTAACACTTGTGTTATC